GCATTTCAGAAAATGGTATTTTAAGATATTGTAATAAAGAGGTATCCTGAGACATGAGATAAAATAAACGGTGATAGGTCTAGGGTGATAAACTTGGGAGAAGGACACCTCTCTGATTCCCCAGATGGTGGCAGTTAGCATTTAATGGAACCGAAATGGAGAGCTTCACGTTTGGAGTCTGCTTTGGAATCTGATTTTGTCATTTATCCAAAACGTGTGCATTCCAAAAGAAAGCTTAGAGTGGGACAAACTCAAGATAGGAGTGGAAATGGTGAGAAAAACAATGGTGTCTGTATAGGTCAAAATAATGATTATAGATGGAAACAATTGTGCAATCCTGAAAGTGAAATTTAGTTCAACTAGCCTTCCTTTTCTTTTTCCCTTAGTCCTTCCCAGTGTTGAATTTCCCAATAAGCTAGATAAGCATGGGTTTACTTGGGCTTACTTACTAATCTGTAATGAACAATTTCATTTTGTTTTCACCACATCAAAGATTCTGCTTCTAAGTGTGGCTGGCAGCTGTCTTTCTCCCAACCCTACAGTACCTTCCTGTAGAATCAAGCCTCTTTTCAAATTTACAATCCCTGACAGGAGCAGAGTAACCTGGAAGCAAGGTCAATTTGGGCTTATTTGTGCTTATCTATAGTGAACAATTCCACATGGTTCACTACAGGTGAGTAAGTAAGCACAAATAAGCCTGTGCTTACCTTGCTTAGTGAGTAATCTTTTCTCCATTCTTTGCTCCCCTTCTCCCTTTTCCCTCCCTTTTCTCCCTTCCTCCATACTATTCTTGTTCAACAAATGTTTTTCAGGACTTAATTGTAATCTAAATCAGAAGCAGATTTACCAAGAAGCTAATATATTTTAAGCTTCAGTGTTCCTCACTTGCATTAGACCTGTGTCGCATTGTTGCATGTGTGGATAAACTTTCTCTCTTTAAAATTAGAATTCTCCACTGCAATACTTCCCCTCAGGTCAGGTTAGCTGGTCTTTTGGGGACCAGCTAAAAAGAGATTGTATTGGTGTTATATTGAGATCTAATTATTTTGACAGCTAATAGGTTTAAAAAAACAAAAAACTAATAGTGACCCCTCCTTGGGTTTCCAAGATAGTATTTCTATGGAAGTAGATTACCCAGTCTTCCTTCCAAGCAGTGGCTGGTGGGTTTGAATCACCAAACTTCTGGTTAGCAGTCAAATGCTTTAAGCACTACACCCCCAAAGTTCCTGTTGGGATATATTTATACTGCTCCTAGGGACTTCTGTATACGGTAAAGTTATTGCTAGCCATCTTGGTTTTGGACTAGATTCAAACATTACAGTGTGTCAAATCACTAGGCATTTGTGGCCCAAAGTGAAGGACCAAGAGTTGATATGATATGATATATGATATGATATGATATGTTCTCCATTGTCTGGCACCAAAGGTAAGTGGTGAAGAAGAGAAACAAGGTTTGAAATGTACCAAGCCAGAAGTTGTTGTTGTCTTTAGGTGCTATTGAGTCAGTTCCAACTCATAGTGACCTTGCGTACAGCAGAATGAAACACTACCAGCTCCTGCTACAGTCTCCCAATGGTTATTACGTTTGAACTCATTGTTCTAGCCACTGTGTCAATCCATCTTATTGTGGGTCTTCCTCTTTTTCTCTGATGTTCTACTTTACCCAGTGTGATGTGCTTCACCAGGGATTACTTCCTGCTGATAAAGTGTCCAAAGTAAGTGCAACAAAGTTTTGCAATCTTCGCTTCTAAGGAGCATTTTGGATTTATTTCTTCCAAGTAGGTTTGTTCATTCTTCTGACAGTCCATGTTGTTGTTGTTGTTATGTGCCGTCGAGTCAGCCCCGACTCATAGCGACCCCTCCTTGGGTTTCCGAGGCAGTATCACTACGGAAGTAGGATTGCCCAACCTTCCTTCCGTAGTATAATTCTATATTCTTATGTAACACCATGATTCAAATGCATGAATTCTTCTTTGGTCCTCCTTATTCATTGTTCAGCTTTCACATGCATATACCAAACTAAAAACCAAAAGGGGCTCTGGTGGTGTAGTGCCTAAGGCATTTGACTGCTAAGCAGAAGTCTGGAAGTTTAAACCTACCAGCCAGTCTTTGGAAGGAAGATGGGGCAATCTACTTCCTTAGAGATACCACCTTAGAAACTCAAGGAGGGGTCGCTATGAGTGGAATTGACTGGACAGCAGGGAGTTTTTATTCTTATCCAACACCACAATTCAAATGCATCAATTCTTCTTTGGTTTTCCTTATTCATTGTCCATCTTTCACATGCATATGAGGCTATTGAAAATACTATAGCTTGTATCAGGTGAACCTTTGTCCTCAAAGTCACATTTTTGCTTTTTAACACTTTCAGTTATTTTGCAGCATTCTCACCCAATGGAATATGTCATGTGATTTCTTGACTGCTGCTTCCATGAATGTTGATTATGGATCCAAGTTTGAAGTCCTTAACCACTTCAATCTTTATTTTATCATGATGTTGCTTATTGGTCCAGTCATGAAGATTTATGTTTTCCTTATGTTGAGGTATAATCCACACTGAAGGCTGTGGTCTTTGATCTTCATCTGTGAGTCTTTTTTACTTTCAGCAAGCAAGGTTGTGTCATCTGCATATCTCAGGTTGTTGATGAGTCTTCCTCCAACCCTGATGGCATGCCCTTCTTCATATAGACCCACTTCTTGGATTATTTGCTCAGCATACAAACTGAATAAGTATGGCAAAATGATACAACCCTGACATATACTTTCCCTGATTTTAAACCACCCAATAGCCCTTCTTCTGTTCAAACAACTGCCTCTTTCTCTATGTACATGTCCCTCATGAGTATAACTAAGTGTTCCAGAATTCCAATTCTTTGCAATGGTATCCATAATTTGATATCATCCAAACTACTAAATTCCTTTGCATAGTCAGTGAAACACAGAAAAACATATTTCTGGTATTCTTTGCTTTCAGCCAAGATTCAGCTACACCAGCAAAGATATCCCATTTTCCACATCCTCTTCTGAATCCAGTTGAATCCTTGGCAACTCCCTATTTATGAACTGCTACAACCATTTTTAATACTCTTCAGCAAAATTTTACTTCTTGTGATATTAGTGATATTGTTCAATACTTTCTGCATTCTCTCATATCATCTTTGGGCACAAATATGGATCTCTTCCAGTAAGTTGACCAAGGAGCTGTCTTCTAAATTTCTTTGCATAAATGAGTGAGTGCTTCTGTTGGATCCATTTGTTGAAATGTCTCCATGAGTATTCCGTGAATTCCTGGAACCTTGTTTTTCACCTGTGCCTTCAGTGCAGCTTGGGCTTCTTTTCATACCATCGATTCTTGATTGTATATTAGCAATTCTTTTTGGTACAGTGACTCTTTGAATTTTTTCTGTCTTGTTTTGATGCTTCTTTCATTTTTCAATATTTTGCCTATTGTTGTTGTTGTTGTTGTTGTTATGTGCTGTACAGTTGGACCCGACTCATAGCAACCCTTACTTGGGTTTCCGAGACAGTATCACTACGGAAGTAGATTTCCCAACCTTCCTTCCAAGGAGTGGCTGGTGGGCTTGAACCGCCAGCCTTCTGGTTAGCAGTCAAGTGCCTTAGGCACTATGCTATATATCTGAAAATTATTTTGTATAGGCTTAATAGTATTTAAAGTAATATTTCCTTCCTGCAAAATTATGAAAGACAATGGAAGAAACTGAAGATGTGGGCTTCATGATGTCTCTTTTCTTTTCATCACAAATCAATTTGCTTTTATTCTTACTGCCCAAACTATAAAATATTGTTTTGGTAACCACTAATATTACACAGGGAGCTCTGGTAGCATAGTGACTAAGGCACTTGACTGCTAACCAGGAGGCTGGCGGTTCAAACCCACCAGCCACTCCTCGGAAGGAAGATTGGGCAATCTACTTCCATAGTGATACTGCCTTGAAAACCCAAGGAGGGGTCACTATGAGTTGGGTCCAACTCGAGGCACATAACAACAACAAATATTACACAGCTCTGGTAGCATAGTGCCTAAGGCACTTAACTACTAACCAGAAGGCTGGCGGTTCAAACTCACTAGCCACTCCTAGGAAGGAAGATGGGGCAATCTTCTTCCCTAGTGATACTGCCTCGGCAATCCAAGGAGCGGTCGCTATGAGTCGGTAAGACTCGACAGCACATAACAACAACAACGTATGGTTATGTGTATTTCTCCAGGATATTGGAGTGTATGTGAGATATGTTTGTGTATATCTAAGCTAGTATGTGTGTATTTATTTTAGGTAATATGCATATTGAGATCAATGTGTGTGTGTATATATATATATACACACACAGTATACATATGTGTGTGTGTGTGTGTGTGTATATATATATATATATATAAATTTATACAGTGTATGATATTTATGGGAGCTCTGGTAGCATAGTGCCTAAGCCACTTGACTGCTAACCAGAAGGCTGGTGGTTCAAACCCACCAGCCACTCCTTGGAAGGAAGGTTGGGCAATCTTCTTCCCTAGTGATACTGCCTCGGCAACCCAAGGAGGGGTCTCTATGAGTTGGGGCCGACTCAATGGCACACAACAACATGATATTTATACATTATTTCCTTTTTTGAGAGAGCTTATTATTGTTTACTGTGCTTAAATTTAAATGGCAAACATAACTTGTATAGGTCTGACTGTAACTCTCTTGAGGCATAGCTGTTGTTTTGCTTTAGTGATATTGGGAAAAGAAGAGAAGAGTTACTAAAGAAATACAAAGCATTCCTCAAACCTCTCTTCTCTGAAGCATTCCATCCAATCCCCAGAACTGGTTGGAATATCATTTTCTCTGCCCCCACCCCATCACCATCTCAAATGCAGTGGGAAAGTCAGTGGGTAATTGGGTCCAGATTGGAGATGTTTAAATATTCATGAGGTTGGCAGGGGACTGGGAGGGGGTGATTGCCTAGAATGGGGATGGGGGCTGGGGGAAGTGATTAGTCATTGAGAGCTAGTGAACAATTCTGAGAAAGAGACAAGGATAGAGGGAAGAAAAAGACAGAGGGAAGAAGAGAAGAGAAAAGAGAGGAAAGAGAAGAGATAGAGAGGAGAGAGAGAGAGAGCAAGAGAGGGAGAGAGAGAACATGTGCGATGAGCAATAGCTGTGGACCTTACAGTTGCAGCTAACTGCCCTGGTGTGTGTGAGGGAGAGAGAGGGAGGGAGGGAGAGGAAGAGAGAGAGAGCGCGCACTAGCGCGAGAGAGCGAGTGAGCAAGCGAGCAGAAAAGAGGTGGAGAGGGGGGGAATAAGAAAGAGAGGAGGAAAGGAGAGAAGGCAGGAAGAAGGCAAGGGACGATACAACCATGCTGTGCTGTATGAGAAGAACCAAACAGGTAGAGCTAAAGATTTTTACTTCTTGCTATTGTGAAATTACCAGAGTACAGTATTCCCCTGCAAAGACAGAAACACGTTTTAACTGCTTCTGCTCTGGCCATGGTGCTCGCGTTTCCTTAGCATATGGTATCTGGTACTCGCATCTCAGCTTTTATTCTTTTCTGTTTTTTTTTTTTTTTTTTTTTTTTATGTGTGTGTGTGTGCTCTGGTTTGGGAATGCTGCTACTAATTAGGGTGAGGGGAGAAAAAAAATATGCTTGTTTGGCTAGAAATGAAAACCCCACACACACACCTTGGCTATTAGTAAATGTTCAGCGTTTTAGGTCTCTGGTTCTGAGGGTGTGGGTGTAGAAAGGGGTGTGGGGAAAAGATATGGGCTCTACCTCCAAGATGGGGAGGCAATCCTTTATATTATGTACAAAAACCGGAGTTGAGGGGATATTCAGGGCTGAGTATTGCCTGTTCTGTTGTACAATTTTCTCACATGTGCTGCGGGTGAAGCCTTATTTCGTACATGCATGGGCTTTGAATGGGCGCGGGTATTTATGGAAAAACATGTGAAGGGTTTTTAATCTATTTTTTCAATGAATGAATGAAACTGTGATTTGAAAGATTTTCTTTTCTTTATTATTTTTTTAAGAGAACCTAAAGGCAAGGGGGGCTAGGGGAGACATTGGCTGTGTTGAAGGGGAAAATCCCCTTCTTAAAATCAGTCGCCAATTGTGCACCAGCTGGTCGGAGGAGAGGGTGGACCACGCCCCTAGGAGCTTTGAGCTCCGACCGGATGGGAAAGAGGAGCCGGGTGTTACCTGTTGGAAACCAAGGTTTTTCTCTTTTGCCTGTCCCTTACATCTTTCTATGGATTGTCAGTGATCAGAGGCGTGCTGACATTCTGAATTATAAGTATAGTGACTCTTTCAGCAGGAAGAGGAACACGTACAAGATTAGCAGGAACCTCAGTCCCCTCCCTCCCACCCCCACTGCTCAGGTTTTTCTTCCATTTCAAATTGCTCACTAATATCTTGAAAGACATTTTAGAAACTTGATTGGGATGAGGGTGGAGAGGAATGAGGAGTATGGCATTCCGCAACAACGAACAGTGCGGTGACAGTCTCCAAACGAAGCTTTCAAACATTTTTTTGGAACACGTTTGAGATATTTTGGCGAAGGTTAAGGAGAAAAATGGGCGTGGGATATGGGTGAGTGTGTGCGTGTGCCTGTGCGTGTGTTTGTGAGTTCGTGTGAGCGCGCTTGGGGTGGGGACAGTCTTGGTCCAAAAAGCCCTTTGCAGATTGATTGCCTTAGGGGTTGGGTGCAAGAGATCGGATTTGGGCATTATTCCTGGACAGGTATTGGATATTGGGCAATTTGTAATACACTCGATGGATCTGAAGGAGGTTGAAGCGAAGTGAGGAAGAAGCAGCCAGCCAGCTCTGCACATTTAGCCAGCGCCCTGGAAGGGAGGGGTAAGGAGTGAGGCTGAAGGAGAAGGAAGAGGAAGGGGAAAGAGACTGAGGCAGAATGTCAGAGTAGTGGGTGGAGAGGCTTGGCAAATAAATAAATAAAGTAGCAGACACCCTGGGTTTTGTGAGTGGTTCTTGTGTGGGTGCAGAGAGCTTACTGGCAGCACTTCCTAAACTGATCTATGTTCCAGAGACTGATGTTTCCATTGGCTCATTTTTCAAACCAGGACATTACCTATGCTTGCCTTGTTTCATTTTAATACATAAATGTAATAGATACAGGTGTCTGGGTTAAGCATACTGTCAGAGAAACGTTCTGAGGTTAACCATTGGTGAACAGGGGAGATAAAACTTAAGAAAGCGGAGCCCTAAGTCAATGCTATTCATTAAAAACGCTTTGTAATTTTGGAAAGAAAAATATGCTAGTTTATAACTTGTTCCCACCCTATTTGTACACATCCTCTTTGACAAAGGAAACCAAGCATGTTTTTAGGAAGGAAATCGGGGACTAAAGGAATTCCCTTCCCAAAATGAGGACAGCTGCCTTCACTTGGCAAGAAGCCCTGGTGGCGCAGTGGTTGAGAGCTCAGCTGCTAACTGAAAGGTCGGTGGTTCTAACCTGCCAGCCGCTCTGTGGGATAAAGGTGTGGCAGTCTGCTTCCATGAAACCCTGTGAGGCAGTTCTACTCTGTCCTATAGGATCATTATGAGTGGAAATCGAGGGGATGGATTTTATTTTTTTGGCCTTCATTCCGGTTTTATCTCCCTGACGGCTCCAAGCTTTTACTCTGATGTGCAAAATGATGAACTTGAAATTGTGCATTTACGGAGTTGTAGGATTTCACATGTAAATGTCCATAGTATCTACATAATTCAAGTACATAGAGTCATGCATGCACACTGTATGGTATCCATATATCTTCATGTGTTTTAGCATAATTCATATTCAAGAGAGAAAATGAAACTGTCCTATTTTACCCATGCATTTTATTAATATGTACTTACATCTGAAATAGTCATATCTCCTATATACCACTGTTGTATATCATGCACTAAGTCAATGTATAGCATACCATTAAATCGGAGTGAAAGAAATGGTATATTAAGGGTGTGGGCTACACACTACACTGGCATTTATTTAGTGTGAGTACTCAGTCTCACACAGATTTCCTGCTTGTTGGTGAAGTGATCCTTTATCATTCATGACAGAATCCAACGGTGTCCATCTTTCTTGCATCTGTTCATCATCCTAGTTCTGAACAGGGAATAAAACAAGGGCAAAAACCTGCAAAGGTCTAAACTCTGCCACACCCATGAAATCCAGCAGAAATGTGGGAGGGGGTTGGAGGGCCTGCACTTCCTTCCCCTTCCACTTGAGCAACATAAAGAAGCAATCTGGGATTTCTAAGTTATAATGCGTTGCCAATAGGTGAGAAGGAAGCTTAAATGTTCTAAATTAGCCATTAGAACCACTACAGATTATTATAGCAGGAAGAAGAGATGGCAGTGGGGTGAAAATGAGAAGATGGTAAAGGAATGGGCAAAGAAGGAATAGAATGAAATAACCCATTGAGATTTTCCTGGTTTATGATTTTCAAATATCTTGGGGCTTACTTTAAATAGCTTAATTACCATGCATATTGTAGATGATGAAAAGCTTGCAAGATGTGATCTGTGTCCACAAAGTGAGAAAACTGTGAGGTATTTCCTTTGTTTAAAAACAATTACTTGTTTGTAACTGAAGTGTAAAGAACACCATGCTAGCAAATATTGCTCCTCCAAACCCCCATTAGTCCCCCCATATAGAGAATAATTCTTATTTTAGAGTGTCTGATCTGTGATTTAGAATTCCAGCCTTATTGCACCTTTCCTTTGCAGTATTGGAAAGGTGCAGAAAGATGCCGCCTTGCTGCTTGGTGCAGACAATTTTTCCCAGTAATAAATTGGATTCCTTCTAAATCGGCCTGAGCCACACCCAGTGTCACCCAGGGACTAAGTGAATTAATTACTTAATAAAATTGAAACTGTTCTTCTTTTTTTTTTTCTTTTTCAATGGAAATTACCACCACACATTTCCAAATTTAAACAGAAAAATTAATATTTTAAAGGGCTCTTTTTCCCTGACAAATTATCTAGATTGACAGAGAACTTTAGAAAATTCACTGATGGATGGTGAAAGTGTTCATTTCTAGCGACTTTGTCATTGCTTCTACCCATGCCAAGGTGCATAGACAATGCGCCTTGCTCTCTCTCATGCTGACAGTCTGACCCACACTGAGGAAGCCTGGAATAAGAAAATGCAGGGTTAATTTTCTCTCTTGCTGAGCTGGCAAAACCAGAAACTTCCTTTTATGTTTCATGCCAAAGGGCAGCACTGAGAAAGTGAATGGTTTAGGGTCTCCTCTGCTTCCTCCAGAGGGAAATTCTCAGTATGATGCCTGTGGCTGAATTAATGCACATACTTAAGAGTTTTACCTGGCCTATAGGATGATGGGGGAGGGGTTTTCTTTGCACATATGTAGTAGAGCATATATATTAACAAATTGCTCCCCTTGTTCATAGTATTGATAAAGTAAGGCAAGTATAAACCTTCCTCTACAAAGGATTCACATAATCAGATCATTTCAAAACAAGGCACTGCAATTGATTATTCACTTCCTTATTAACTGTGATAGAGCCATTCAGGCAACCAAGGAGTGAATCTTATCAACCAAAGGAGTGATTGTGGTCATGAATTCTCCCTTTTGGATGTCTGAAGGTGTTACCTCTGCACCATTGTAACTGAACCTTCACAGCATTCTTTGAGGTGCTGGGAGGAGCACCGTGCTGAGAGTCCTTAGTCTGTGCCACTTGCTGATTCTGTAATCTTGGATGAATGCCAAAGTCTGGTTTCAGTGTGCTCTCTGTAGAATAAGGATTTAAAACAAAAGTACCCTGCTTACCTGTAAGGATTAAATATAATTAAATATATAAATTAAATATAATTGCCAATGTAGCACCAATTTTTTTTGCAAGTTTTACAGTGTGAGACTTGACATCGAATTGCCACCTTTTTAGAACTTTTAAGTGTCTGCCTTCTTTCTGTTAAAGGTTGGCTCCTTCCAGTCAGAGCAGATTACGTTCTTGCTCGATCTCCTATTTTCCTTTCCCCAGAACCTCACTCCATCATTACCTATTCTCTCTTGAGATTTCCTCTTCTTATAGCCTGTGAGTATGCTCTTGTTTCTTTCATCTTAAAGGACCCATTCTTAACTCTATGTCCCCATATCTGTACAGCTCTCTGTCTCACTCTCCTTTTAGAACAAAGTCTCTAAAATACTACTCTCCATGCTCATTTTCTCCTCTTCAACCCTCTCCATTCCCTGTCTACTTTAATAAAGCTTCTGTTCTTTAATTCCTTCGAATCATGTTCAGAAAAAGGCACCATGTCCAGTGCTGCTTCAGTCTACCTTTTTTTTTATATATACTTCTTTGGCAATTTATATTATTGTCTATATCTCTTCTTGAAACGCTCTTCTTCCTTGGTTTCCATGACA